TATATTATTTGTATTTTTTGTTATTGTAAAATGTCTTTTTATAGTGGATTTCGATCCATAAATTTAAAAAAAAAGGCCTAATTTGACAAGGTTCTGTTTGATCCTAACGAGTTTATTTTGGTACGTTAATTTATTTTACTTAAGGTGTTTTACTCTTAATTACCACGCCTTTATGTTTCTTTCATTGATGATTGGAACATAATAATTCATTGCACTTAATTGTCTTGGTGCATTTTTCGTCTTAAGCTTTAACTGTAGAATTGGCTACCATTTTACAATTATTTGATGAAAGGTTTGTGATAATTGGACCATTCCATTTTCGTGTTTCTTGTCTGTCCTATATTCAACTCTTGTCCGTACGCGCTTTGCTTTTGAACATATTTCATTCAAAAACTGACAACACTTTTTTTCAATGGAATGTGATATCCTCGCATCTCCTTATATCCAATTAGAATATAATCCGGAGATAACGATGTTGGTTTCAATTGTGAGAAGAATCTCATCGTGGGATTGTCAACACCAAGCTTTCATCCAAAATACATCCGCAATGGTGATATTTTTTTAATCAGGTTTCCTCTAATACGAGAACGTATAAATTTCTCTGAAAAAAACGTCTTTTAAGCAGCAAGAGCTTCAAAAGAAGCTGTTTAATAAATTATCTTCCTAAACTAGTCTGTGACCCCTCAAAGATCGAATACTGTCACAGAGGATAAATAATTACAACAATCAATTAAAATACAAAATGAAACTTCTATCAGAATACTTTATAAATATATAAAAACCAGTCAAACTCTCTAAAAGACTTAAATATTTATTAGGCCGCAAACAATTTTTATGTAATCAACAACAAGGAGTCATAAATATGTTAAATATTTAATCATGAAAGACAAAACAAGTGCTGCTCTATAATTTGACCGATCGGGGTCAATAAAAGCTAATATTGATTCGTTTTCAAATCAATTATTTTTCAAGGAATGACTGTTGTTCGGTGACGCGACACAATAGTACAAAATGATCAAACCTAGTAAATAATGACTAGTAACTGCTCACAGGTCGAAAAGTATGGACAGCGAAGCTTCAGACAAAGAGAACAATAAGGAGCGCGGCCGCGATAAAAAAAATGGCCGATCATTCGTCGTCAAGCAGGTAGTATTAGCAGTTCTTTCAGCATCTTTTCTGAATCTTTCGAGGTCGAGGTCAAGGTGTAGTTTAAGCTCGGGCTCATCAAGCTCTTCCAGGAGCTTTTTCGAGCTATACGATGAGTCTTTCACTACGAGCTCGAGCTGAAGGTCTAGTTCAAGCTCGGGTTCAGCGAGCACATCCAGGAGCTTTTTCGAGCTATACGATGAGTCTTTCACTACGAGTTCGAGCTGAAGGTCTAGTTCAAGCTCGGGTTCAGCGAGCACTTCCAGGAACTTTTTCGAGCTATACGATGAGTCTTTCACTACGAGCTCGAGCTGAAGGTCTAGTTCAAGCTCGGGTTCAGCGAGAATTTCCAGGAGCTTTTTCGAGCTATACGATGAGTCTTTCACTACGAGCTCGAGCTTATGGTCTTGTTCAAACTCGGGTTCAGCGAGGTCAGGGAATAGGGGCTTTTCCAGCAAGCTCTGGTTTTACCTAGCATCGACGTTTTATTGAAGTTAAACTCTTCAAAGTACTGGAAATTCTCGGATTTTTAATTTTGTCTATTTCTATTCCACTGATTTCGTACATAATTTCATCGAACCAAAATTGAAAAGCGTTCAGAGTTAATTTACTATAGTTACACCAGATCCGTCTTCTTTTAAAACATTTCCTCTAAATCCATACCTCTTTTTACATGTTTTTTCTAAGGCTATTCCCACCTCTAGCAGAAAGGTAGACACTGAATTGATTTTAGAAATCGTTTATTTTAAAAGGTCTAACAGAAAGAGCAAGCAAAGATGGCCGCAGTGGTCGGGACCGCGGTTTGTTCACAGTTATACGGACATTCTTCAGATGCTTGACGAATTGAGGAGTAAGTTTTCCTTTACCAGTGCTACCAAAATATGTCATCAATTTCCCTATTTTTTATAGCAAACCCAATGGGTTCCATGTACAGAATTTTTATCCAAATTCAATAATGCAAATTCGTTTGTACGAGGTATGTCAGGGAGGTATGTCACTGAAACCTCTGAAACCTGGAATCTTTATCGAACGGGCTATTCTAGATATTCAAAATTTAGTAGACAATATTTGTTTAGCTTTCTTCGACAAAGGGTATAAATTACAACCACCGATGTTCTTAGGCGGGTACGTTTTGCATTTGATCAAGCCGCTTGATAGTGTAGGGGCACCTTTAGTCTTCGCTGCTTTGCAGGAGGGGGTATGTTTGGCTGCTGCTCTTGCGGTTGTGTTTTCAATGCGTGCTCATTAAATCGTGGAGTTTTTGATAGCGTTCTTTTATGACATCAGCAATTGATGGTATACCAGGGGGCGCCTGTTATTATGCGGAGCACTCAGCTTTGAATTGTTTGTATCCTTTGGATTTGGGTCCCGCGACGCAGAACCCCAGATATCACATCCATATGCCCATATTGGGCGTATGACTACAATATATATCAGGCGCTTTAAGTAGTTTAGATATCTAAGTTTTTGATTGTTTGATCAATATGCCACGTCAGCTTCTCATCAAGGTTTATTCCTAGGTATTTTTCTATTGGTCCAGAAGGGATGCTTTGGCCGTTAATTCCTATCGGGATGCCGTTACCTTTCTTTTTAATGTAAACTTAACCAGTCTAGATTTGCTGACATTTAATTCCATACGCCAGTCCTTGCAGCATTTTTCCACCATTATTGCATGCGATTTTATGTTTT